TCTTTCCAAAAATTGGGACTTTTTTAAAACGCCGCGGGCCGCGGGACAAATGGTTGGAAATCGGGACTGTCCTGCCAAAAGCTGGAAGTCTGGTCACCTTACCAAAGCTTCCAGATCTGATAGGGTCTCTGAGGCCCAGAGAAGGTGAGGGGCTCCTTTTAGGCCACACAGCACGTGGGCGCTGGGGTGGGGCCATGCCCTGACCTCTGGGACTGGTCGCTCAGCCTCCCTCCCCAGCGCCGCCCTGCAGGGCGGGAGGAGGAGGGCCTGCAGTCTGGGCACGCAGGGCAGAGGGGGGCAGAGGCCGTGGCAGGACACTGGAGGGGCTGCTGGTGCGGCGAGGGCAGGGTGCTGAGGTGAGGGACAGAGGCGGAGGGGCCTCACACGCCAGCCTGACCCTGGGGACCAGGCCCCCGAGGGAGGCTGGGCAGAGCTGCGCGGGCGGACACTCAGAATCTCTGGGCGGCTTCCTGGAAGCCTTCCTGGCCACGGCTCCAGGCACAGGGCTTCCCACAAATCCCTCAGGGGTCCTGCTGAGGCCAGGTGTGGGGCCCCTGGGGCTACAGGGCCTCAAGCAGGAGCATGTCCCCCCAAGAACTCTTTGATGTGGACTTCCTAACGACCCTGCCCCCTTGGGCCGGCCCCAGAGGCGCTGGCGTTCTGGCCTCCTCTTTGGAGCGAGGGTCCCAACGAGGCAGCCTGCCCTCCTGCTCCTCTCCTCCCGTCCCCTCCCCCCTGCAGCATCACGGCCACGGCCGCCAGCATCGGGGCCGCGGGCATCCCCCAGGCCGGGCTCGTCACCATGGTCATCGTGCTCACCTCCGTGGGCCTGCCCACCGACGACATCACCCTCATCATCGCCGTCGACTGGGCTCTGTGAGTGGGGTTCCCCCCTCCACGTCCCCCCCCCCAGGCAGCAGGCTTTGGGGATCGCAGGGAAAGTGCCCGACGTTGGCACAGCTTCCTGGAGACCTGCAGCGGCCACGGCTCTGGCCCAGCTGCCTAATCTGTAGAGCCCAGTTTTCAAAACCCCTCCTTCGCCAGAAACGAAAATGTGAGGTCGCTTGTGTACAAGTTAAAAGGGATTTCAAGAGGGTGAGAGCAAACCTGGGCCCTTCTTTTTTTTTTTTTTTTTTTTTTTTTAAATGAAGTTTATTGATTTTTTTTTACAGAGAGGAAAGGAGAGAGAGAGTTAGAAACATCGATGAGAGAGAATCATCGACCAGCTGCCTCTTGCACACCCCCTGCTAGGGATGTGCCCGCAACCAAGGTACATGCCCTTGAGCGGAATCGAACCTGGGACCTTTCAGTCTGCAAGCTGATGCTCTATCCACTGAGCCAAACGGGTTTCGGAAAGCCTGGGCCCTGCTTAGCACGGGCCCTGAGCGACTGTCCGGCCACACGCCCGTGGAGCCCGCCCTGCGTCAACCAACCTCCTCCACGCCCCTGAGGGAGCCGTGGGCCTGAGATGCTGGGGACAGCGCCTCTCTGTGGCTCTGCCCTGGCAGCGGGTGCCCACAGGGGCTGCTGGGCCGGGTGCTGCCCTCTCCCCGCTCCCCTGACCAGCGCCCACCGCTCGCCGCCCCCCAGGGACCGCTTCCGCACCATGATTAACGTGCTGGGCGACGCGCTGGCCGCGGGGATCATGGCCCACATCTGCCGCAAGGACTTCGCTCAGGACACGGACACGGAGGAGGTGAGAGCAGTGCCCCCCTCCCCCCGGCCTGGCCACCCAAAGGCCCTGGAGGGTGGAGCCCAGTGGGACGGGCACCAATCTTCCATCTGGGGAGCCATCAGCCAACCCCTGCAGCCTCCCTGCCTCAACTTCTCACCTGGTACCCGGTGACTAACTCCTCTCACCGCTATGGCTGAGCCCCCGCCACGGCTGGCCCTGCTACAGACACAGGAACGAAGGAAGCCGGAGCCCTGCCCTCGGGGAGCCGTGCCCAGGTGTGGGCGGTGCTGCCCACAGCAATGCCAATGTTTGCACATCTGCACGGCCTTCGTGGTCTTAGGGCTCCTCCAGTGACCAGAGCAGCAGGCGGCCCCCTCCACCAGGAGGACGCTGAGGCCCAGACAGCGGCCCGGTTCCCGCCCAGACCCTGTGGGTCAGGTCCCCTCCTCTCCCACAACAGCCACAGGCGGTGGCCGGGCGACCGGGAGGGGCCCTGGGGCCTGCCCAGGTCCACAGCACATCCGTAGGAAAACCGACCGTGTGGTTCCCAGCCCTCGCTCGGTCAGTCCTCCCCGGAGTCTGCCCTCGGCCCCTCCACCTGCCACCACCCTGCCTCCCTCCTCAGAAACTGCCGCCCTGCGAGACCACGCCGGTGAGCCTGCAGGAGATGATGGCCACCCAGAGGAACGGCTGTGTGAAGAGCGTGGCCGCGGCCTCCGAGCTGACCCTGGGCCCCGCCTGTCCCCACCACGTCCCCGTCCAGGTGGAGCAGGACGAGGAGCAGGACGAGGAGCCGGCTGCCGCCAGCCCGGACCACTGCACCATAGAGATCAGCGAGCTGGAGACCAACGTCTGAGCCTGCGGAGCCGCAGGGGCCGGATGGGGGGGGCCTCCAGGGGTGGAGCAAAGGGAAGGATTCCAGCTTCGGCTCTCGGGGGCAGACAGCGCCAGCCTCACACACGCTGCCCGCCCTGAGGGCTCGGAGTGAGCCCCACGCGACCGAACTGGAGTCTCAGAGGGGCACCAGCGGGGCGTGGTGGGCCGGCGCGGCCCAGCCCTGGCTGGGACTGGCCATCACGTGGCCCGTAAGGACAGCAGGCAGGCAGAGGTGATGGTCCCTCTTTTCTGGGCGGCTGGGTTAAGGCTGAGCACAGTTACCCCAGATCCCAGAGCCAGTCGGGGCTAGGACTCCAGCGAAAGCCTTCCAAGCCCTGGCCACGCCCTCCTGGGGGCAGGGGCTCCTGCAGGCCCAGATGCCAGGAGAAGCTCTAGGCCCTGCCCTGCCTCAGACCCCCGCAGCCACCACTGCTTTCCATTTATGAAGACACAACAACAGTGCCCTGGGTCTGCCCGGTGACCAGCCCAGGCCAGCCCTCCCCCGCCCCACAGCATGTGGCCTCACACAGCCCTCCCCAAAGGGGGCCCAGCCAGGAGCACGGCCTGCTGCCTTCCGTGTGCCACTGCCCGTCTCGTCTCGTCTCACATCCCACCAGGCTCTCTCGCAAAGCTCCTCTGAGGTGGAGATGGGGCCCTTGGGAACCTGGGGCCTGGGCCAACCTCCACGGACAGGGGCCAGCCGGGACCCGGAGCGGGCTCGCCTGGGATGCTCTGATCAAGCTGCCCAGTGGCTCTGGAGCCAGGACTCCCCAAAGCCTGTGGGATGAAGTGGAGTTAGGTTTTATACTCTTTTCTGTGTTTGCAAACTCAGAGATAACTCCATAAAGGTATTTTTGTTTTCCAAGTTCTGAGGGCTTAGCCACCAGACTCTGGCCAGCACTTCCTCACGGAGCTAACGCAGGCTGTCACCGTGCAGACCGGCCGGTCTGGGCAGCCGGAGCGTGGACAGGCCCGTCCAGGTGGCCAGACAATACACAGGCTTGTCCTTGTGGCTAGAATGCAGACGGCCTGTCTGGGCTGTCGGCGTGTGGACAGGCCTGTGGGGAGGCCAGGGCGCAGAGGAGCCGCCTGGCTGGCCCCGGCGAGGACAGGCCTGTCGGAGCTGTCACACGCAGGAGGCCAAGTGCAAACCGGCCTGCGGGCGGGGGCCGTCGTGACAGCCAGGGTGGACAGATCGCTCTGTCGCTGGCCTGGGCCTGGCTCTGCAGGAAGGGCCCTGCGACCAGTCCCCACAAAAGGAACAATTTCTTCAGCCAGCTGGGCTCCCTTCGGCAAGTGACAGGCCCAAGGACAGTTCCAGTCTGTGTCCTTGGTTCTCCTCGGCCCCAGGGGCCTCCAGGAGGCTCACGGGGGCAGAGATGAACTCTGGCCACACAGCCTGCTGTGGATGCACTCTGGGGAGAAGGTACAGCTCTGGGGGGTGGGGGTGGGACTGGGGGGCTTGCACATTGAAGCCAGGGGAGGAACAGGCCTCCAAAGGTCACTCAGAGAATCAAGAGGACACCTCCCTCCCAGTGCCCAGTTCCTGAACTACTTCCCACCCTCCTCCCAGGGCCTGACCCCAGGACCCCCTCCCACTATGGGAGCACCCTCCCTTCATAAGGAGAAGCAGCTAGGAGAGGTCGGATGTCAAGCTCTGGTCCCTCCCACCATCAGGTCTCAGGCCCTCTGAGCCGCGGAGTCTGCCCACCACGGGCGCCTGCTCTGACGGGGCTGGGCAGGATGTGCTTACACCCCTGGAGAGGGGCCGCTAATCCCCGGGCATCCATGCAGGGCAGCGCTGCCTGTCAGAGGCACTTCTCTGCTCTGAGCAGGTGCCGTCCCCACCACACCCCCTCCCAGCCCTGGCCCTGCTGGGGTGGCAGGCACCCTGGGCACGCCTGCACCTCCTCCCAAGGCTCTGCTCCGGCTCCCAGGCCTGTCTCCGGTCCCCCTCGTCCCCAGCTTTCCTCTAAGGGACAGACCCCATTGGGAATGCCTACTCCATGCACAGGCGACCCTCCAGGGGCCCTGAGCGGTCTGAAGCCAGGCTCGGATGCCTGGCCTCCGGGGTGCACAGTGAGCTCACAGACCCGTGTGGTGGTCCCGCCGGACCTGGTGACCCCCGCCCTGCTGATGGGCCCCACATGCCTCAGGCTGGATTACCTGCGACCACACCCTTGGTCCCCAGACCTCTGCCTAAGGGGCCACTTCGTTGGCCCCAAGAGCTGAACTTTGCTCTGACTCCCGCTGGTCTGGACAGGTGCTGGGATGCTTGCATCCTGCCCTCGCCCCCACCCCCCCCGGCCGGGTGCCAGCTCAGGGCCTGGCAGGAAGCACACACAGACACAGCCACGGGCTGCCAGACAGGGCTAATGCTTTTATATTAGTTTTTCTGTAGAAAAAAAAAAAATCAGCTTTGAGGTTTTCATCACTCTTTTCTTTTTACAAAAAAGGTGCCCAGCACTCCCTGCAAGCCCAAAGAATAAAAATGGTGTCTCCTGGGTGGGTGGGGCCGGGCCTTCCTCATTCAGCCCAGCGCCAGGACCTCCACCTCCCGCCCGCCCGCCCGTGGCCCCTGGCGGTCCCCGGAGAACTGTCCTCCGGCCTGGCCGGCGGGAGCGGCAGGGAGTGACTCCCCCAGCGGCTGGGAGCCGGGCGGGCGGGCGGGGCCGGGCCGGCAGTCCTGAAGGTTCCTGTCCCCGAAGGTAGGGAAGAGGAACAAAAGCCAGCTTTTGTGAGTTCCGGAGGGTAGCAGGCACCGGGCCGCAGGGAGCTCGGACGTAACTCTGTGTCTTCTCCAGAGGATGGACGGACGGACGGACAGGCGGACGACAGGATGTTCTGGCCCCTTCTGGCTGGGCAAGAGCTATTGGTGGCATAGGCCAAGGAGGGCCGTTTGCATGTGACTGTGTGTGTGTATGTATGTGTGTGCGTGTGCGTGTGCGCGTGTGTGTGGGGGGGGGGGGTAGGAAGTGTGAGCCTGTGTAAGCCAGGATCGGGTCAGGCCTTTCCCTGAATGTGTGTGGTTCAGAGGGAGTGATGGGGGGGATGGGGCGGGAGAGTGGACCCTTTGGAGGGCTGTGTGCAGGCGGGCCATGGTATCTGCGAGTGCCCGGCTGTGGCCCAGACCGCAGGAAGGCGTGGGGATGGGAGGCTGTGTGTTCGGCTGTGCGGGGTGTGGGGTGCAATGCTGGGGGTGTCGAGGGGGGCAGAGTGGCGGCTCACAGGCACAGGCACGTGCTGCAGAAAGGGGTCCTGCAGAACATGGGGGGAGTCAGGGAGGCCGGAGCAGACGCGCCAGCCACAGCCTGCCTGCGGGAGCCCCTGGGTCAGAGCTCAGGGAGGACCAGGGGGCTGCGGCAGGAGGGGAAGCTGCCCCTGGGAGCTCAGAGCCCGTGGGCGCCCCCGGAGGTGCTCGTGTTGCTGTGGCCGGGCCTGCTGCGGACAGAGGGCCTTTGGGTCCCACTGGACTCAGGGCCTCACCCAGGGCTCTGCTCCACCCACCTGACCACGGCCAAGAAGGGGCAGCTTCTCTCCCATCCCAGGACTCCCCAGGCCCCTCGTGAGGGCCACAGCATCAGTCACCCCTGCTGGGGACCCTCCCTCTGCCTGAGAGAAGGGCCTCCACCTTCCTAGCCCTGGACCCCGAGTAGAAAGATGGCTCCTGAGCACTGCCCCAGGCCTGCCCTCCGCGCTCACACCGCTGCCCCCAGCACCCTCTTCTCTCCCTCACCCCCCCCCATCATCCGCCCCAGGGTCCTCACACCCCTCGGTTCCTTTCTGCCTCAGGCCCTACTTCAATTCCACTTCCCAAATCATGGCCTCCCAGAACCACACCTGGCCCTCACCCCCAGCCTGGCTCACCCTGATATCGCTCTAACCAACCTCTCCGCTGGCTCCTCGCCACCCCCCTGCCCTCTCCGACACCCCCCTGCCAGCCCCGCCTGTCTGCACCTCCCCCCGCCAGCCCAGCCTCAGGATCCAGCACTGCACACAGTCCCTTGCCCATGCGCTCCATTTCCTGGTTCCGTGGCCTCCTGCCCCGCACACCTGGTCAAACCCAGCCATGGATGGGTTCCATTGTCCATCTTCACTCACACCCACCACCGTCTGCTGAGCACCTGCTGCCGCCGAGAACACACGAGGCTGCAGGCACCTGGCTGGCGTGACTTTATGTCCAGCCATCGAGCCGCTAGCCTGCGACGGCAGCTGCTCAGTCCCTGTCCATCCTCCACAGCAGGAGCGCTGACCTTCCACAAAGCCAGGCCTCCTGCTGTCCCCACAGGGATCACCGGACACCCTGCTCTCCTCTCTTAGGTCGTTAACGCCTCCCTCCTCAGCAGCCTTCCCCATCAGCTTCCAAACCAGCTCCATTCCTCAAAAAAGGCCCCACAGGCACTGAGCCTGCCTGGACTGCTCACTCCTCCCCACCCCCACGCCCTCTCATCTCTCCACAGCAGACTTCTTCACAGAGCTCTGCGCCCCTGGGTCCGCTCCTGTTCGCCAGGCTCTCCACCCCCGCCCCCAGGCTGCTCCCCACAGGGCCACGGACACACGCAGTGGGCCCTCGGCAGTGCTCAGCGCCAGCAGCCTCTCAGCAGCGCTGACACAGCTGATTCTCCCCACTGTGCACGTATGCGCAACATGCATGTATAGATAACATGCATGTATGTGTGCACATAAGGGAGGGCCCATGAGCATGGATGTGCATGTGTGCACATGTTCCACATCTGTAAATGTGTGTGCATATGTGCTTTGTGGGTGTGCAGGCGTGTTTATGCATGTATGCATGGGTATGTGTGTTGTGCACCGCATGTATGTGCGGGTGCTTGTTTACATGCCTGTGTAAATGCCCTCTCATCTGGGCTGTCCGTGGCTTTCCTACCTCCTTCCCCAGCTGCTCCATCTCAGCCCCCTCTGCAGGCTCCCCTCCCTCTGGCCACGCCTTCTCTCTCCCTCCCGGGCTCCCTGACCTCCTGCAGCCATGGTGGCTGTTCAGGCTGACGATGTCTGGTGCCACCTCCAGCCCAGACCTCACTTCTGAACCCCAGACCATATACCCAGCCCACCCCTGGGCACCTCTCCCAGCGACTTCCAGGCCCTCAGCTCAACATTCCCTCAAACAAACCTGTTCTTCTCACCCACCCTCAGGTCCCAGCTCCAACCTGGGCCTCGCCTCTCCCTCCGCCATGTGAGGTCTGCCTCCCCACTCCCCTCCAGGCCGTCTGCTGGTCTGCAGCCTCACTTCCTGCCCCTTATCTCTGGCTTAGAGGACAGCAGGGCCTCTGCCCGGGCCTCACACCACCCCCTGCTGCCACCACACCAGGGCTCTCCTCCCTGCAGGGAAGCCGGCACAGGCCAGCCTCCTGGGCTTGCCCTTCAGCCCGGCCTCCCACCCACGGCCTGGCGCACACCCAGTGCTCTCACAGGTTCACACACTGACCGGGGACCCGGCGACAAGGGTGGAAAGTGGACAGAAAGGCCCTCGGTGGGTCAGGGAGAAGACACTGGCAAGGAGAGGGGAGTGTGCCCCACACAGACCACCCACCTCTGTCAGACCCCATTCACCTGGTCACTATCGCCTCTCCTCTTCCTCCTCCTCCTCCTCGTCCTCCTCGTCGTCCTCCTCCTCTTCCTCCTCCTCTTTCAATCGATCCCGGTCCTTGGAAACGTCGCCAAACTCAAAGTTGCCTTCGATGTCCAAGACCTGCAGGTGCTTCAGCCTCCGGAAGGCGCTGTCCACCACGGAGCCCACGGCCAGCTTGTTAAACCTGCGGCCACGCGCGGGGTCAGAGCTGGGAGCCCGGCCCCCGAGCCCCCACACTTACCCACCCCTGAAGGGAAGGGGGGGGACACAGCTGACACAGAGGCAGGGGCTGGGAGGCACCGTGTCCAGGGTGGCTGTAGCTTGGGGGGGGACAGTGGCTGGCCCCGGGCCTCTCACCCACACGGTGAGGGAAGGCTTGCCACTGCGTAAGCTCTCGCTACAATGTAGGCACCTCCTCTCGCCTGTCCTCTGGCACTAACTCTGAGTCCTGAGCCTGCTGGGCCCGGGTCACCCCGGTGCCCGGTGTGAGGTGGCACTCAGGCAGGGCCAGGGGACGCCCAGGGGACACCCAGAGGTGGGAAGGCAGAGGCTGGGCTCTGACCCCAAGCCCCCTCAACTCTCTGTGCCCCTGTCCCCTGCAGGAGCCAAGCACAGGTCACAGCCACCACCCCCCCCCCCAATGTTGCCCAGCCGGGACCCTCTGGGCCACAAAGCCCCTGGGAGACCCCACCTGCCTTTCTCCAGTCTGTCTTCTCCTCTCTGAGGTAAGGGGGTGGGAGGTGGGGAGGTTGGCAAGAGCCGCCCTGGCTCTGCTGTACGGAAGCTCCCCATCTCCTTGGGGAGCTGGGCTCCCGAATTATCCTAAAGCCCCAGAGCCCCGGGGGGACCTGAGCGTCTGCTGCCCTGGCTCAGCCCAGCCGATGTGGACACAGCACATCGGTGCTCTCTGGGCCGCCGTGTCTCCAGCTGTAAACTGGGAAGATGCTCCCCGGGACCCCTTCTTGCCGCAGCCACACCAGTGCCGCCAGGTGCACGGCGTGGACTTGAACCCGGGCCTCTGCCTGCCGGCGGTTCCCACGTGCCCTGACTGCCCCGCTAGAGCCAGGGCGGCCGGGGGCGCCCACCTGAGGAAGATCCCCTTGAGGTTGGGCGTGGCGTCGAAGGCGTGGGCGGGCACCGTGCTGACCTTGTTGTTCTGCAGGTACAGGTACTCGAGGGATGGGGGGAGCCCCGCGGGGATCTCCGTGAGCTGGTTGCCTGCGATGTCCAGCAGCTGCAGGGGCGGCCAGGGAGGCGAACGCTTAACGACTTGCAAAGACCGCCACGAACTCTGCCCCCCAACACATCTAAATCTCACCGTGACCTTGGGAGGCGGGATCTCAAACTATCCCCATTTTCCAGGCGGGGAAAGAGAGGCTCAGAGGTTAGGTGATGTGTCCACGGCCACGCAGCCTATACAAGGCGAGAACCCGGCGCGCCTGACTCCAAACCCTTGTTCCCCGGCTCCTCTGCCGTCCCTCGTGGACCCACAGGCAGGATGTGCTTCCTCACTCACACACAGGCCACCCCCATCAGAGTGAAGAGCACGAGGGCCGGGGCCAGGGGTCCTACTGTCCAGAGGAGGTGGAGTTCAGGGCCATGGGGGTGGCCTGCTCATTTCTGGATCTCAGGGGCCAACAGGCAGGGGTCAGGCTCGGCGTCACCATGGGCCTGCGTTCCAGGAAGCAGGAAGCCAGGAAAATGGGGTGTTTTCCTGGAGAGCAGGAGACCCGGATGCGCACGGCCCCACTCACTGCCCCTTAGCTGTCAGCACACCTTCATCCAACACACACACACACACACACACACACACACGCGTGTGCAGCCCCGGGTGGGCTCCATCATCTCACGCTCCCTTCCCCAGCCCAGCAGGCAGGGGCTGAGGGTCAGGAGGCTGAAGGCCAAGAACCCAGATTCAACATGTAAGGGGAGCACGGGCTTCTCACACCACAGACAGCGCCGTCTCCTCCTCTGTGCACAGGCTCCCGGCTCCCCACCCTGTTCCCTTCGCACGGCTCCAGCACCTCCCCATTCACTCCCGCTCCTCTGTGCCCCTGGTGCTGGGGGCACGGAGCCCACTGAGACACTGCCTCCACCCTCGGGAAGCCAGGCGGCAGGGGCGATGGACACGGAACCTGACCAGGACAGCCGGTGGAATGGAGCCGAGACGGGGGGAGCCGGAGGAGGACCCGACTCAGCCCAGGAGCAGCTGCCGCTTGTAGAAAGATCCAGCCGTGAGAGGAAGCGTCGCCCCCACAGGCACCCCATCCCTGACTGAACTCCGGGCCGAGGGAGGTATCTAACCCTCCCGTCCCTGTTGGCTTCTGGAGGAGGTGACGCGGAGTCCCAAGGAGATCGGAGGCTCCAGGAGAGGGGTGCCCCTCCGCCTGCCTCACTCCCGGCTGGGGCCTCAGTTCTGGAGCTGCATCTGCTCGTGGTGCGGTCTCGGCACAGACTCACGGAAGGAGTGACTGGGTATCACCAGCGGGAGCGGTGCCTCCAGCAGAGGGGCCGGGACAGCAAAGCCCAGCACACCTGGGAGATAAACTCAGCTGGGGGCAGGCAGGGAGGCCTTGAAGGCCGGGGCGAGGACTCTGATCTGGGTTCTCAGGGCAGGAGCGTAAGCTGAGCATGTTTTTCAAGACACCCTCTGACTGCACATGGAATGCAGGGGCAGAGCGTTCCTGGGACGGTTGGGTCCAGGTGAGAAACGGAGGCGGGTTGGCTAGGAGTATGAGCCGCAGGGATGGAGTGAAGTGGACAGGGTGAGAGGTGATGGAAGAGCTGGCAGGGGTAGTAACCAGGGGCATTGTGGGGCAGATGGCGTGAAAAGGGGATGTCAAGGGCAGCTTCCAGGTGTCACGTGGGCACCAGGGGTGGTGTCACCCCTTTAGTGAGTTAGAAAATGCAGGAGGAGCCAGTGTGAGGGAGAGTACAGTGGGGTCTGGACCCCTTGGGAACAGGTTCTGGAGTATACCTACGAGGGGCTGATGGGCACACGGGGCTGACTCTCGTGTCTGGCACTCAGCAGGGCAGTCTGGGTGAGGAGAGACACACACACACACACACACACCCCTCCCCTGGCCCTCTGAGGCTGCTCCTGTAGGACCAGCTGCCCCCCTGACTCCCACCCTGCTCCATCCTCAGGCTCTGCCTCACCTCCCTGCCCCCCACTCAGACCTCCCTATCCTGGCAGCTGCCCCCACAAGCATGGACTGGGAGCCTAGCCGGTCCGGGCCTTGGGTCCAGCAGTGAGCACAAGAGACTAAAATGCCGGCCTTTATTCGAGAGAAGAGAACAGGCAACAAGAAAGCAAACAGATGACCTCATGCCTGGGAGGGATGCGGGTGATGAGGAAAAACAAAGCAGAGGAAGGAGGTAGGCGAGAAAGACCTCCCAAGGAGGTGACATTTGAGCATATCCCCAAGAGAGAAGGAGGAGCAAGCCCTGGGACACAGAGAACAGCAGGCAGGCCCAGAAGCCCCCTGGGGTCCTGGCAGCACCTTGGCCTGCCTCCCAGGTTTCTCTAGTGAGGCTCCTTCCCTTTGGGCCCTCATTAAGTCGGGGGGGGGGGGGGGGCGGGATTTCATTGTAAGAAGCTCGATTCTTAAGGCCAGCCATCCTGCCTGACTCCGACCTCGGCCACAACAGCCATACCCACGGCTCAGGACACCTCAAGCAGACTCCCCCAGACCTCGGAGACCACCTCACCGCCTTGTTGCCCTCCCCCAAGTCCCCCTTCTCCAGGCTCACATTCCTGTGCCTGTGGGTGGGTGAGGATGACTCTCCTGCCACCTGAACTGCCCGCCCCAGTCCTCCTGCCTCCTGAGCCAGGGGCCTCTGCCTGGAGCCATGACCTCCCCTCACTCCCTCAGCCCTCAGCCTGTACCGCCAGTTAGTGAGCTCTGCCTGGCCTCACCCGCCGTATTGGGCCCTTCACTCCTTACCGGGCATGGCTGCCATACTCTCTGCATGGCCCACCCCCTACCCTCCACCCCCATTCCTAAGCAGGTACCCCCTCCCCAGCAGGTGCCTCCCCCTAGCCCAGTGCCCCGCCCTCCCCTTTACCTGCAGATGGGCGAGGTCCGCCCAGGCACTGGGGCCCAAGGCCCGGCTGCGCAGCCGGTTGCCCGTGAGGTAGAGCTCACGCAGCTGGGCCATGCCGGCCAACGCCCCGCGCGCCAGGGCGGCCAGCTCGTTGCGCTTGACCTTCAGCACGTGCACGTTGCGGGGCAGCCCCGGCGGCAGCGTGTGCAGCCGGTTGCCGGACAGGTCCAGCGAGCGCAGCAGGCGCAGCTTGCGGAAGGCGTCGCGGTGCACCTGCGGGCTGGTGATGCGGTTGTAGCTGAGGTTCAGCTCCTCCAGGAAGTAGGTGGCGGCGAAGTCGTCGCGGCCGATGCCGGCGATCTGGTTGTGCAGGATCATGAGCGTGCGCACGCGGCGCGGCAGGCCGCCGGGCACGCGCTCCAGCGCGTTGTTGTACAGGTGCACCGTGTGCAGCCGCTTGAGGCCCTGGAAGGCGCGCGGGTGGATGCCGTGCGCGCGCAGCTGGTTGCTGTGCAGCAGCAGGTACTCCAGGCTGCGGATGGGGGTCAGCACGTCGGCGCCCACGCTGCGGATGGCGTTCTTCTCCAGGTGCAGCAGCACCAGGCTGCGCGGCAGCCCCGCGGGCACCCGCGACAGGTTGTTGCTGGACAGGTCCAGGTACTCCAGGCTGGAGAGCTTCCTGGGGGCGAGGGGACGGGGCGGCTGGCAGGAGCCCACCCAGCAGGAGGTCCACACACCATTTCCCCAGGGAAGGTGGCCGGGGAACTGCCTCTAAGTCACCCTGGTTCTCACTGGGGGACCCCAGCCCTCCAGGCCCGCTGGACTAGCCATGGCCTTGGTGTAGGAGGCTGGAGCATGGTTTCTGGTTTTTATTTGAAGACCAGTCGTTTAAGATCTTTTATTTTTTTTTGGGGGGGGGGGGGGTAAGAAGGGGCTACTTTGGACTCTAAGAAAAGAAAAGAAAATAAAGTAAGACATTTTTGCCTTCAACAAGAATGTCTGAGTTTCTATTTTGTACCAAGAAGCCGGCCGCTGCCAACGCTTCCCTGCCTCCCTGGAGTCTTGGCAGCCTCGCCCTTACACATCGCTTGCTCTAGGGGGCAGAGATGTCAGCGGAGGCACAAGCCTTCACGTTCCCTCTCCAGGGAGCCGGGCCAGGGCAGGGGGCGGGAGAGGCGTGGGACGGGGCCCGGCGGGGTGGGGGGCGCCGGGAGGGTTTACCAGAAGGTCTCGTTGTCCAGGCCCTCGTCTGTCAGGTAGTTGTTCTGCAGGTACAGCTCCCGCAGGTTGCTCAGCTCGCTGAAGGCGCCCGGCGGGATCTTCTCCAGCTTGTTGTTCTGGGGGAGGGGCGGGGAAGGGGGGATTAGACAGCGGGGCAGGGGGGGCAGGGCTCCGAGGGCTCTGAGGGAGCCGGGAGGAGCGGGCCGGCCCGGAGCACTGGGGGCCGGGTGCCCGGGCTTCTGCCTGCTTCTCCTTGGGGGATGCTGTGCCCTCGGGCATGTACTGGAGGCCCCAGGGCCCCGCGCGTGAGCTCCGCCCTCTGGGCCCCGCACCTGCCCTCCGCCTCCCACCTTGAGGTGCAGCTTGTAGAGCGCGGGCGGCAGGTGCTTGGGCACGTGGCGCAGGAAGTTGCTGGACAGGATGAGGATCTCCACGTTGCCGGAGCCGTTGAACATGTTGTCCGGCAGCCCGGCGTCGGCCAGCTTGTTGTTGTGCAAGTACACGGACCTGGGGGCGGGGCGCAGTCCTCACCCAGCAGGCCCCCGCTCCGCCCGGCCACGGCCCCGCTCCGCCCGGCCGCGTCCCCTCTCCGCCCCGGCCACCGCCCCGCTCCGCCCCGGCCACGGCCCCCCCCCCCCTCCGCCCCGGCCACGGCCCCGCTCCGCCACGGCCACGGCCCCCAACTCCGCCCCGGCCACCGCCCCGCTCCGCCCCGGCCACGGCCCCGCTCCGTCCCGGCCACCGCCCCGCTCCGCCCCGGCCACGGCCCCGCTCCGCCCCCGGCCACCGCCCTGCTCCGCCCCGGCCACGGCCCCCCCGCTCCGCCCCGGCCACGGCCCCGCTCCGCCCCGGCCACGGCCCCGCTCCGCCCGGCCACGGCCCGCTCCGCCCCCGGCCACCGCCCCGCTCGCCCCGGCCACGCCCCCCCCCTCCGCCCCGCCACGGCCCCGCTCCGCCCCGGCCACGGCCCCGCTCCGCCCCGGCCTCCGCCCCGCTCCGCCCCGGCCACCGCCCCGCTCCGCCCCGGCCACGGCCCCCAACTCCGCCCCGGCCACGGCCCCCAACTCCGCCCCGGCCACGGCCCCCAACTCCGCCCCGGCCACGGCCCCGCTCCGCCCCCGGCCACGGCCCCGCTCCGCCCCCGGCCACCGCCCCGCTCCGCCCCGGCCCCCGCCCGCCCCGCCCCCGCCCCCGCCCCGCCCCGCCCCGGCCACCGCCCCGCTCCGCCCCGGCCACGCCCCGCTCCGCCCCGGCCACCGCCCCGCTCCGCCCAGGCCACGGCCCCGCTCACCGGGGAGCCTCCAAGCCTGGCTCAGGGTGGGCCTGGGGCCCAGGGCACCTTCCTTCCATCTGAGGGACCTCAGACTCAACCTGATGTAGTCCCCACCCCACCCCGTACTGCTGAGGGACCAAGGACCACCAGCAGTTGTCCCACAAGTTAGTGGCAGAAATAGGATTTCCTGACCCCCAATCCATGCTTCTCCAAAGCCTTCAAGATTCTCAGTCAGCCGAAGCCGGTTTGGCTCAGTGGGTAGAGCGCCAGCCTGCAGACTGAAAGGTCCCAGGTTCGATTCCGGTCAAGGGCATGTATATTGGTTGTGGGCACATCCCCAGTAGGGGGTGTGCAGGAGACAGCTGATCAATGCTTCTCTCTCATCGATGTTTCTAGCTCTCTATCCCTCTCCCTTCCTCTCTGTAAAAAAATCAATAAAATATATATATTTTTTAAAAAGACTCTCAGTCATTCCCCGCCTGTCACACCCACACAGCTAGCTCTGAGTTCTGGGGAACCCCCTGAAGATGCGGTGTGACCCTCACACCTCTTGTCCCTGGTGCTCAGCACAGGGCGTGGCTCTGGGAGGTGAGTGTCCCCACATGCCAGGAATGTTCTAGACTCCGAAGGTCTAGCAGTAGACACCACCACCAAGATCCTGCCCTCACGGAGGTGACATATGCCAGAGGGAACACACAGGAGACACAGCTTGTTCTCGCTGTGTGCCTCTCTTGGGCCACACAGTGACCCTGGCTCCTCAGGGGAGTGGAGAGAGCCCAGTGAGGTGACAGATTCGGGTACAGAAGTGACACCAGGAGTGTCAGTCCCACCAGCCAGCCCCACCCTGCTCCGCTCACTCCTCCCCAGGCTCTGCTGGGGGCTGAGGAAGGAGGGAGTCTCCCTTCCCAGCTCCCACGGCTCCTCCACAGGCATCACCCTCCTCCTCTTGCCTCCTCACTCTCTAGGCCTCAGCCTTTGGAGCCCTGCCCCGCAGCCCCCGGCGCCTCTCAGCACAGCCCTGAGCGTGGGCCTTCATGCCCGCACTGCCAGCCTGGCCCTCCTCCCCGGCCCATCGGGGTCCTCTCTGCTCAGCTCCCCCCTGTCCCCAGCCTGAGCCCAGGGACCCCTCTGACCTCTGACCTCAAGTTTGGCTTCTGGCCAAAGGTGAGCCCATAGATCTTGGTGAGATAGTTGGCAGCGAAGTCCACGCTGATCAGGGTGTTTGGCAGGAATCGGGGTGCCAGGGTCAGCTGAAAAGGGAAGAGTTGGGGCAGAAAGAACGATGGAGGGGAGGCAGTCGGCTCTGGGTCCCACCGCCTGCTGCCCATTCAGGCCCCTTCCCTTGTCTCCTCCCAGCAGCCACAGCTCCCCTTCCTCTGATAAGACATAGGCCCTCTACGGCTGCCCTGGGCGAGGCATTCAAAGCTCGCCAGCCTGACCCCTGCCCTGCCCGTCCTCCTGTCCTCTCCCCTCACTGGCCCCGACACCGGCTGTCCAGCCACAGCGCGCACCCACGCTTTCCCAGACACAGCCCACGATGCCCACCCTTCATTCCTTCAACCCTGAGTCTACAACACTCCGGGCACGGCTCCCGGAGCCCGCGGGGCACATCCTGGCAACAAGACAGAGAAGCACCTCTGCTCCCCCCCCCCCCCAAGCTGACATCCTCATCCTCGTCCTCATGGAGAAGACGATACACAGGGGATAAAAGGATCTGATGCCGATCACTGTGACGCAGGGAATTCAAACAGGCTGCAGACAGTTTGGGTGCTCAGGGGACAGGGACAGGCACTCAGGCATGCCAAGGCAGCGGGAGCCACAGCAAACCCAGCGAGGAGGCTGGGGGCAGGCTTGGGGGCTGCAGAGGGGCGGAGGGCGTGAGCGGGGCTGTGTAAGGAGAGGCGGGGGGGGGGGGGTGGCCTGCATTCTGGGTGGAAGGAAGGCAGAGCCCCCGGAGGGTTTAGGCAGGGAGGGGCGATGGAGGGGAGTCGCAGGGCTCGGTTTTTAAAGGTCACTGGCCGCTCTGAGGAGGCAGGGCTGGCCAGCTGGGAGGTAGTGGTGGGGAGGGGTGTGTAGTTCTGCTTTACGCTGTGAGCCAAGCCCCTGGAGACGCCCCTCACGGAGATGGAGAGCCCGCAGGAGGGCTGTGGGCTGTGGGCTGTGGGCAGGAAGCAGTCCTACTCCCATCAGACCTCTGGGGAGACACCCAGGGGCAGAAGGAACTCTGAGGCTCAGATGGGAGGAGGGGGCAGGGCCGGGGAATGCCCCTGGGCCGGGCGGTGTGGAGAGAGGTCAGAGAGGAGGCCAGCACGGAGCTCTGGGTACTGGGCCCAGTGTACTGAGCCGGAGCGTCTCTGTGCCTTCTCTCCTGCCGTTCCTTCCACGTCAGGGCCGCTGCCTGAAATCCTTTGGCCCTTCACAGCCTTTACACGCTGCTATCTGCTCCACACGGCCCTGAGCTGTGCCAGCCTCGCTCTCACCCCACCGCGTGGCCTCTGTCTTCACTAACGGACTGCTCCGACGCCCCGGGCTGAGGCGTGGGGTGCAGGCCGTGTCTGAGCAGCAGCAGGACCTGAAGGAGTCCTGGCAAACGTTCCCTGAGCTCAGCCTCTGACCCGGGGTCGTGGGCAGCGCCCTCCTCCCTGCGCGGCCCTCACCTTGTTGTTGGCCAGGTACAGGTAATTGAGGCTGGTCAGGTGCTCAAACGCCTCCTCAGGGAGCCCTTCAAAGGACAGGCATCGGTCAGAGCCCTGGATGAAGGAGACGCTACAGGGGAGCACACCAGCGCCAGCCCCCAAGCCCACCCTGCGTGCCAGGCCTGGGAAGGGCGCTCCCGGAGGCTCGCCCCCGTCAGGACCAGCAGGCCTCCCCATTCCCCTGCCCACAGTGGCCCATGCTCAGAGGAGCAGGTGGGACAGTGTCCACTGAGGGGTGAGCCACCCGGGTGAGAATGGGTGCCCCCCGTAAGGTCAGGCCAGGGGATGGGGGACCCAGACTAACGTTTTCCGAGTCAGGAAGGCGTGCTCCCCTGGGGGCAGCCCCCCAGGACCAACAGCAGGGCAGGATTCTCTCCACCACCGGCCGCCCCTGCCCCAGGTAGTGAGGGTCAGGACTCGCTGTCACTGGGGTCCCAGCCAGGCGGCCCTTCTCCAGGCCCGAGGCTCCCAGACCCTCAGATGCTGGGACTCACCCCGTTATCTAACTACGTAAATGGTGCAGCATCCTCCATGGAATCGCTGCTGTGGAAAGATGGCTGAGGAGGGTTTTAGCAACAGGAGGAATGCTGCGAGCTAACTGCTGGTGAAACAAAGCATTCACAACAGCTGTGCCGCCTACACTGTGCATCCAGCGAGAAATGGGGAAATGCAGAGAAGAGAGACTCGCCTGGATTGTGATGACAGTTGTGCAACTGGATAAAGGACTGAGACTCACCAAATTGTACCTTTCCAGTGGGTAAATCTTACGGTATACAAATTACATCTCCATAAAGCAGCTTTTTAAAATTGGAAAGCAATATGCCAACATGTCAATAGTGATGAACTTCAAGTGGCAGCATTGACTGGGTTTTTTTTTTTCTTTTCTTTTTTCTTTTCTCTATTTCCAAACTTCCTATTATAATAAAAATTATTTTCAGCAGCAGCAAGAGAATCACTTTTTAAAACTTGAGGACTTGCCGAAACCGATTTGGCTCAGTGGATAGAGCGTAGGCCTTCGGACTGAAAGGTCCCAGGTTCAATTCTGGTCAAGGGCATGTACCTTGGTTGCGGGCGCATCCCCAGTAGGGGGTGTGCAAGAGGCAGCTGATCGATGTTTCTAGCTCTCTATCCCTCTCCCTTCCTCTCTGTGAAAAATCAATAAAATATATTTAATAGCAAAAACCGGTTTGGCTCAGTGGATAGAGCGTCGGCCTGTGGACTGAAAGGTCCCAGGTTCAATTCTGGTCAAGGCCATGTACCTTGGTTGCGGGCACATCCCCAGTGGGGGGCTTGCAGGAGGCAGCTGATCGATGTTCCTCTCTCATCGATGTTTCTAACTCTCTCTCTCCTTTCTCCCTCCCTCCCTCTCTGTAAAAAATCAATAAAGTGTATATATATTAAATAAATAAAAAAACACTTGAGGACTGTACAACTCTGATTATAAAGTCCTTCTGTGACCTGAGTCCACCACAGAGGTCTTTGAATCCTCTCCCGAGTCAGAGGCTCCCAGGGGTGGCTTTTAGGAGGCATCGGGACCCACTGCCGCCCAGACCCGCTCGTCCCACCCCCGGGGTGCGCAGGGTGGGCCTCCCTGCCTGGGGCCCCCGGCCCGGGCGACCCCTCACCTCGGGAAGTCAGGCGGTTGTTCTGAAGGTTCAGCGTCTCCAGGCGGTGCAGCCGGGAGAGCTCCTCGGGGAAGATCTTCTCCAGCTGGTTGTTCTGGAGGGCGGGGTGGGTGGTGAGGAGGCAGCACGGGGGAGGCCACCGTCCTCAGCCCAGTCCCCCCCTGGCAGGCAGGCTCTGGGAGCCAGGACCCGAGCATGGGGTCCCCCCTTCTAGGAGGCCACATCTGAGTGTCCACAGGAGTTCAAACTTGCCCCACAGGGTGGCAGCCGATTCGCCCACAGGCCCGCTTTTAGTTCCCTCTCCGGGCTGCCTTCCCCACCCCCCTGGCAGCACTTTAAAACCCCGGCATAGTGCCACCTCCTCCAGCGCCTTCCTGGGTTGCATTGGGAGTAGGAGCTGCTCCGGGCTCACTAGTCCTTCTACCTCCCTCTGTCATCCTCTCTACTTGTCCCGTTCACTGCCTCCCCCACCTGGGAGGGCCTAAGCAGGGTATGTCCGAGTCCTCTCCCTGTGCCCAGCACCCCCAAGGGACCAGAGGAGAGAGCAGGTTTCCAGGAGATGTTTTATGAATGGAGGAGTGAGTGAATGAGCCAAAAATAAGTGTTGTCATCAGCTTGTCCCTTTCCCTCAGAGGCTGCCCTGGCCGCAGGCTCCCACCTCCGCCAGCCCGGCCCACAGGCCTGTGTGCTGGTGAGCGGGTCCCTTTCCCTCAGAAGCTGCCCTGGCCCTGGGCTCCCACCTCCGCCAGCCCAGCCCACAGGCCTGTGTGCTGGTGAGCGGGTCCCTTTCCGTCACTGCTCCTCTGGAAATGGACGTACAGCCTTGTCCTCGCCCCAGGGGGACCGGGCAGCACTCCAGTCCCCATCGGAACTCCTGTCCCGCTTCCTCTGCCTCAGCTGGAGAGAGCACGCTGCCCTCTGAACCCCCAGAGCCCTCTTTTGGGGTCCGCTCTGCTCGTGCTCTCCTGCCTGTAGTGCTGTCTGGGGCCAGCTGCTGGGCAACTCTGTGTCCATGACAGACCAGGCCTGACTCTACGCACGGCCTCAGCCAAGACTCCTCCCAGGGGAACAGCAGGTTACAGCATGTGCTCAGTGACTTAGACAACGATCAGAGGGGGACACCTCCACGTGGAGCTAGATCCTCGTGTCTGACCTGCTCCAGCGCCCCACGTCTGGGGGTGAGGAGCCAGGAGCACTGGGGCTCTGGGCCGGGAGCCGTGAGTGGGGGTTCTGGGACGGGAATCGTGAGTGGGGGGTTCTGGGACGGGAGCGGTGAGTGGGGTTTTCTGGGACGAAAGCTGTGAGTGGGGGGTTCTGGGACGGGAGCAGGGAGTGGGGGGTTCTGGGACGGGAGCTGTGAGTGGGGGGTTCTGGGACAGGAGCAGGGAGTGGAGGGTTCTGGGATGGGAGCGGTGAGTGGGGGCTTCTGGGACGGAGCTGGGAGTGGGGGGTTCTGGGACGGGAGCGGTGAGTGGGGTTTTCTGGGACGAGAGCTGTGAGTGGGGGGTTCTGGGACGGGAGCCGTGAGTGGGGGTTCTGGGACGGGAGCCGGGAGTGGGGGGTTCTCGGCCGGAAGCCCTGAGTGGGGGGTTCTGGGACGGGAGCGGTGAGTGGGGGGTTCTGGGACGGGAGCCGTGAGTGGGGGTTCTGGGACGGGAGCCGGGAGTGGGGGGTCTGGGACGGGAACCGTGAGTGGGGGGTTCTGGGACGGGAGCCGTGAGTGGGGGGTTCTGGGACGGGAGCCGTGAGTGGGGGTTCTGGGACGGGAGCCGTGAGTGGGGGGTTCTGGGGCGGGAGCCGTGAGTGGGGGCTTTGGGACGGAGCTGGGAGTGGGGGGTTCTGGGATGGGAGCGGTGAGTGGGGTTTTCTGGGACGAGAGCTGTGAGTGGGGGGTTCTGGGACGGGAGCCGTGAGTGGGGGTTCTGGGACGGGAGCCGTGAGTGGGGGGTTCTGGGGCGGGAGCCGTGAGTGGGGGCTTTGGGACGGAGCTGGGAGTGGGGGGTTCTGGGATGGGAGCGGTGAGTGGGGTTTTCTGGGACGAGAGCGGGGAGTGGGGGGTTCTGGGACGGGAGCCATGAGTGGGGGTTCTGGGACGGGAGCCGGGAGTGGGGGGTTCTCGGCCGGAAGCCCTGAGTGGGGGGTTCTGGGACGGGAGCGGTGAGTGGGGGGTTCTGGGACGGGAGCCGTGAGTGGGGGTTCTGGGACGGGAGCCGGGAGTGGGGGTTCTGGGACGGGAACCGTGAGTGGGGGGTTCTGGGACGGGAGCCGTGAGTGGGGGGTTCTGGGACGGGAGCCGTGAGTGGGGGTTCTGGGACGGGAGCCGTGAGTGGGGGGTTCTGGGGCGGGAGCGGTGAGTGGGGGTTCTGGGACGGGGGCGGTGAGTGGGGGTTCTGGGACGGGGGCGGTGAGTGGGGGGTTCTGGGACGGGGGCGGTGAGTGGGGGGTTCTGAGACAGGAGTGGTGAGTGGGGGGTTCTGGGCCGGGAGCCGGGAGTGGGGGGTTCTGGGACGGGAGCCGGGAGTGGGGGGTTCTGGGACGGGAGCGGTGAGTGGGGGGGTCTGGGATGGGAGCGGTGAGTGGGGGGTTCTGGGCCGGGAGCTGTGAGTGGGGGTTCTGGGACGGGAGCCGGGAGCGGTGAGTGGGGGGTTCTGGGACGGGAGCTGGGTGTGGGGGGTTCTGGGACGGGAGCGGTGAGTGGGGGGTTCTGGGACGGGAGCGGTGAGTGGGGGTTCTGGGACGGAACCGTGAGTGGGGGGTTCTCGGCCGGAAGCCCTGAGTGGGGGGCTCTGGGCCGGAGCCCTAAGTGGGGTTGCTGTGCCCTCACCTGCAGGGACAGGTGGTTGGTGAGCTCGGGCAGGTCCCCCGGGAACTCGCGCAGGTCGATGCCGCCACAGTCCACGACGCCCTCCTGGGAGCAGGCGCAGTCCCGGGGGCAGTTGATGGTGGCGGGGCCGGGCCCCGGCTCCTCATGCCTCAGGACCAGCACGGGCTCCTCCTCCACAAATTCGTTCTCCTCGGGGCTCAGGCTGTGGGCGCCGTTCCGGCCAAACACAGGGGCCCTCACCGCCAGCACCAGTCCGAGCGGCAGCTGTGGAGGCAGCAGCAGCAGGAGCAGCAGCGCCCTGCTCCGGGCCATGGTGCCTGCGGGAGGGCTGAGTCAGACCGGCCTGGGAGCCGGGCTGGCTTCGCCTGCGGGCACAGCGGGGCAGGGCTGGGCCACAGACGTCCTCATGGGGCCCTTGGGGCACGAGGCAGAGCCCACGCTGGATCCTGTCCTCATCACACATCTGACCTGGGGACTGCTGTTCCCCCACCCTCATCCCCCCAGGCCCCCCATCAGGGCTGCCCCCAGGAGGGTTGGGGCGAAGGGAAGGTCTGCAAAACCTCCACAATCCTCCCCAGGCCGGGCCCACAGAATCTGCCTCCTTCGCGGAAGGCCCAGGCAGCACTGAGCTGTGCGGGGCTTGGCCTGGGCGTGGCCGGGCTTGGCAGAGCTCCCCCTCCGGCTGCCACAGGCCAGGGTCCCGGCCAGCAGCCAGCCACTCCAGGTCCTCAGATCACGGCCAGCCAGTCTTCCAGCTCTCGCACCCACCTGCCCCCTTAGACACGTCTCTTTGGTAGTTCCTCCCCCCAGGCCTGGTTCCTTTTCCTGGAATGCCCTCCCCTCTCTTGTGCAATCGGCAAGTTCTCCAAGAAATTCCAGCACTGCGTCCCCTGAGAAGACTCTGACGTGCCCCAGGGCTCTCCGTGACTGCGCCCCCTCCCGCCGGGCATGGATGGGGTGGGTTATGAATACATAATGTTGTGTCTTTCTCCCACCACAGCGTGAGTCTGGGTGGAAGCCCAGGCAGAGCCGGCGCAGAGTAGGCATCAGTGACTGGAGTTGCTGCCGCCTCCAGAAGCTCCCAAGTCCCGTTCCTGGTGCTGGACACTCAGCGGAACCTCACCAGGGCCCGCTGTGCTCACATGACCCCTTCCACCTGCAGGAGGCCACCCTGGCCTGGTCCCCTGGGGTGGGGGGGGGGCGGTGAGACACACACAGAGGATAGTTCCAGACCATTGAGGAAGATACTGGTTCCATTGTCCCAACAGCCCATGGGCGGGGCTGGTCCCAGGAGTTCTCTTCAGGGACGCACTCAGAAAACCTCTCTGGGGTAGGTGAAGTCCCCGTCCTCCACCTAACAGCTCTGACCTTGCTGAGCCTCAGCTTCCTCATCTCACAGTTCGTCCACGTGAGCTCGCAGCCTCCGTGAGGAGTCCCGAGTCACAGCCGCAAGCCCCTGCCCCCATCAGGTGCCGTGCTGCCATCAGTGCTGCAGCGGACACAGCGCAGGCCAGTGCCCGGGCCTGGGGCCCTGCTGCTCAGTCTGAGCCCATCAGAGCCTAGAAGAGTCTGAGGAGAGGGTGGGCTGGGAGGTACACGGGAAGCTTGATGGGGACACACGGATGTCTGGTTAAGAAGGTGGGCTCTGGCTGAAACTGGTTTGGCTCAGTGGATAGAGCGTCGGCCTTCGGACTGAAAGGTCCCGGGTTCGATTCCGATCAAGGGCATGTACCTTGGTTGTGGACACAACCCGAGTAGGGGGTGTGCAGGAAGCAGCTGATCGATGACTCTCTCTCATCGATGTTTCTAACTCTCTATCCCTCTCTCTTTCTCTCTGTAAAAAAATCAATAAAATATATTTAAAAAAAGAAAAAAAGAAAAGAAGGCGGGCTCTGGAGCTCAGCCCTGGCTCTTAGCAGCTGTGGGACTTGGGTAAGGTGACCAGACATCCCGCTTTTGGCAGGACTGTCCCTCCAAAAGCGGGACGTCTGGTCACCTTAGACTTGGGGTGAGTGTGGACATCCTCTGAGCTGGTAGCGGGGATGTCCTAATGAGAAGAGAGAGGTTCAGTGGGATGTGTGTGCTGCACTCAGTAAGTGCTCAGTAAATGTTAGCTCTTCCCACCGTTACTATCTCATCGGTGGGCCTTGTTCCCATTTTAGCCACAGCACTGCCCTTTCCAGAATCCCCTACTCCCTTCCCTTCCTGATTGTGCTCTGTGGTCCAGTCCCAGCCCACCTCCTCCCAGAAGATTTGAAAGGTGTGAGGACAGAGACGAGGGGTGGCCATCGGGCTTGCTTGACCCTTTAGGTCCCCAGACTTGGGCCCCAGCCCTGGCCTGGCAGAGAGCCAGGGAGCCCAGCACACAGAGCCCTGGGCTGCAGCCCTGCCCTATGCCCACCCTCCCACATACTTGCTGCCCCCGGCCCCTGACCAAATGGACGGTAAATCCTCAGCCAGGCTACAGACCCTCATTCCCGTGGCACAGTATAACCCCGGCCGGCTCCACAGCCTTCAGCCCCTGGGTCCCCCGGCATTGCTCTGTCTGCTCTGCTCAGAACAGGACTCTGGGAGGGGGAAAGGGGCACAGGCTCAGGCCCCACATTCAATCAGGGCCAAGGTAAGGTGACCAGACGTCCCGCTTTTGGCGGGACGGACAGTCCCGGTTTTTAACAATTTGTCCCGCGTCTCATCGGGACTTTTTAAGAATGCTGCGGGACGCAGGACAAATTGTTAAAAATTGGGACTGTCCCGCCAGAAGCGGGACGTCTGATCACTTTAGGCAAAGGGCCAGGGAAAAGGAGTCTCCCCGCACATCCTGTGCACTCCGGGACCAGCTGTTTTCCTCCTTTGGTTTGTGTCTGTGTAGGTCTGCAAGCTGTGTCTGTAGAAATATTTCATTTATATTAACACATGAGCCACATTGAAAATGTTATCATCACCACTTTATAGATGAACGAGCTGAGGCCCAGGGGGAGTGGCCAGTGTAACACAGCTGTTACACGGCAACGCTGAGCTCCCAGCCCAGGTTTTGACCACGATGCTGTGGTTTATGCAAAATACAGCTGGGCCCTGAGGACCAGGACAGACCACGCAGAGGTGGCTCTGCCCTGAAGCAGTCACCCCTGCACTCATCCGGTGTGGTTGCCACATGTGGCTACTGAGCACTTAAATGTGACCAGTCTACATTGAGAGGTGCTGTATGTGTAAAATGTAGTGTCCATGGGTTTCAAAGACTTAGCACAAAAGATGTAAAATATCGTATTAATATTAGTGATCATAAAATAGCTTATCTTTTTTCTTCCTTTTTTGTTTCCCCCCCCCCTCACTTGAGGATATTTTTTAATTGACTTTTAGAGAGAGAGGAGGGGGGAGAGGGAGAAGAAGAGGGAGAGGGAGAGGAAGAGAGAGAGAGAGAGAGAGAGAGAGAGAGAGAGAGAGAGAGACATTGCTCTGTTGCCTCCCATACGTGCCCTGATTGGGAATCAAATTCAAAACCTAGGTATGTTCCCTGATTGGGAATCAAACCTGTGACCTTTTGGTATACGGGATGATGCTCCAACCAACTCAGCCATCCGGCCAGGGCACTCGTTTATTTTTTTATTGATGACATGAGACTATTTTGGATCTATTGAGTTAAGTTATTAAAACTCATTTTACCTGTTTCATTTTACTGTTTTACTGTGGCTTCTAGAAAACTTTACATGTGTGGCAGACTTGCATTTGTGGCTCACACATGTTTCTTTTAGACACCGTGTGTAAACTGTGTGATGAAGGGAAGCCAGAGGAGGCCTGACCTGCCTGCGCCCAAGAAGTCTTCCCAGGAGAAGGGATGCCTCTCTAGACATGAGGGGTGAGAGTATCAGGTGAAAGGCAAAGGGTGACACAAGCGAGGGGTGCACAGGCCCAGGGACCAGAGAGCCCGTTATGGCCTCTGAAAAGCTCACGGTCTGGCAGAGGCTGGAGACTGGGAGTGATGCAAGTGGACAGCGGCCCCAGTCCAGGCGAAGAAGGTTCCGGAAAGCCAGGCCAGGGAGAGGGAGCCTTCTCTCCGGGGAGAGGAGGACTGTGGGAGAGTGTGGTGCGGGCCGGTGTGGAGCTTTCAGAGGCTGTGCAGTGTGCAGGCAGGGCTACCAAGCCTGTTCTGGACAGACAGGGAGGTGCTGGGTTGCGGGGACAGAGAGGGAGCTGGATTTGAGGGAAAAGAACAGACAGTGTTTGCCCTAACCTGTTGGCTCAGTGGAGAGAGCGTCAGCCTGTGGACTGAAGGGTCCCAGGTTCAATTCCAGTCAAGGGCATGTACCTTGGTTGCAGGCACATCCCCAGTAGGGAGTGTGCAGGAGGCAGCTGATCGATGTTTCTCTCTCATCGATGTTTCTCACTCTCTATTCCTCTCCCTTCCTCTCTGGAAAAAAAAAAAAAAATCAGTGAAAAATAAAATAAAATAAAAGACAGTGCTTGAAGAGTGGTGACCCAAGTGCCACTCCTCTTCCTCCAGCTTGACCTGTCACCCGTAGGACCTCGGAATCCTGAGCAGCTCCAGCTCCACTGTCTGCTTTGCTGTGTGGCCTCGGCTACATCTCAGACCCATCAAGGTCTCAATTTTTGGTGTTATTGTTGTTCTAAGACTGTTCGGCCCCGTCTATGTGCCCGCCATGTTGGCGCTGTGTGTGGAAGAAGAGAGAACTGACCCTCTGTGTCTGGAAGTCCCCAGAGTGAAGAGTCCCCCTGGCGAGGATCAGCTCGCACCTTTGGGAAAGCTCTGAGCTCTGTCTGGGCGATGGAGCTGGGGACTCCTCCTGAGGATGAAATGAAATGACGTGCCCCGCTGGTGCTGGCACTCAGCACCTGTGACATTCACACCCGGGGCTGTTGTTACTCTACCTGGGACCCCCTACCCCGCCACCCCAATTCTCAGTGCCCCCAAGGGCTAAGTGTGGGATTAAAGCAGGAAGAAGACGGAAGGGGAGGGTAGATCCCAAGTCAGCAGGCAGAGCCTCAACCCAGCACCACCTTCCTCCTCCACCCAAATTCAGTAAAGACTGGCTGATCAACTGCTCTGCGCTGGGCCCCCAACAGCTAGCTACATCGTACAGACCCAACAGAAATCCAAGCTGAGAAGCAGGTGAGGGGTGCCCCAGCAGGCTCCTACTCAAACGCCCCTGACCTGGGAGCTGCTCCTGCTGGCTGGGCTGGGTTCAGAGTTCCAGGGGCTCCCACAGCACCCTGGCCCACACAGAGGGGGCTCAGGAAATGTTTGCTGGATAAAGAAACCGGTTTGTGGAAGGCTGAGGTGGAAAAGATCTGCAACCTTGTCTGGTCTGAGCCCCTCCTTTTACCGGCAAGACCGGGACTAGAGTTCGTGTCTTCTGGCTCCTGCCAAGAGCCTTGAGCTGGTCTTGAAAGCTGAGTAGGGGTTCCCCAGGTTTAGGGGGGGGGGGGAACACCCTCCAGACAGGGCTGGGGGCCGAGAGGCTGCGCAAAGGCGCGGTGTAGGGATGGGGAGGAGGGAGTAAGGGATGTTAAGGAGGGTCACCAGGAAGAAGGTCCCAGGGCATCAGCCACTATCCTAAGGTGCTGGTGATAGAGCGCCATCAAGATGCCAGGCAGGTCCCCGGTCAGAGCTCCTGTGTATGACTCCACCGGGCCCAATGGTGTCCCCAGCAGCCACCCTTAACCCTAATCCAGGTAAGAGGACAAAGCGCGCTCCCACAGCTCTCCTGAAGTCGTGGGACCCTGACACGTCTTAGC